ATTTATGTATGTAATAGTGCTTGAAAACCTGCACAGTCTTCCTCTTCTGCTCTTTTGTTAATGCATGTTGATGTACATTGCCCCCTGAAGTCTGCAGAAATATGTAAACAAAGGGTTTAGTCACTCTGAGAATCATCACCTACTATATACCATTATTTTTATTTGTTTGAAAATTTTTAAGTGCTTTGAAATGGCTGAAGTACATTTAAGTATGAGTGTATGAGTAAGAAATGCCCAATGCCCATTACTTAGAGTTATTTCAGGGCAAGCACAAATACATAATGAAAATGAAAAATGTTAAAAAATGTTAAAAGCATTGAATGTCAAAATCTATGCAAGAACAAAGAATTGCACTGGACTCACACGTTTCCCAAAGCTTACTGTAAGTTTAACTCTGTCCCTAGAGCAAAACATCACAAAGGAAAGTTTCACACGTTACCCCAAACCCTGTTGTCAGGGCACATCCTTGCTCTGTGTCTGCATTCTCTGAAATGCACCTGTGTCAGAGTCCAGAAAGCGCTCAAGGTCACGCACTGGCGGAGATGTTGAGGCTGACAGAGTGGAGACCAGCATTCCCGGAATCTCAGTTCAGCACTATCTAGTGTTTAGTCTGTCACAGAGCCTGCCACCGCCAAATAATCAAAACAACCTCAAAGTCTTTCCTTTTGGAAAAGCTGCCTGCATTGTTGATGTATGTCAGCGGCTGACCTCCGATTTACAGTCTGCACGAAAACACTGCGCCCATCGTCTGTTCACATGAGGTGTGAGTGTTGAATGTTGCTTTTTTTCCCTCATTTGTTTGTCCAGATACACTCTGGATGAGTTTGGAACGGCTCGCAGGTGTGCAGTGGTACGAGGATTCATCGATGCCCTCACCCGTGGCGGGCCAGGAGGAACTCCCCGCCCCATAGAGATGCATTCACATGACCCTATGAGGTACACCTCCAATTTTGACTAAATATATTTCAGGAAATAAAGTACAAGTCCTCTGAAACACAACTATCTCTGTAATAAATATTTAAGATAAAGTATCCTATACTATATACTATAACTATATACGACTATATAATGCATGATTGTAAATGTTATGATTCCTTCATCATTAATCTATTAGATTTAGTTCCAATTCAAGAGGATGTTAAGTGTTAGTTCTTCAGTGTCTGAGTGTGCCTGTGTTTCCTGTTGTACCACATCCTCTTCCCTCTTCCTCCCGTGCCCAGGAGCCAAATGGGAGAATTTCTCAGAATACTAGCCATGTGTGGAACACAAAATCACCTCCACTTTATAGGAGGCATCAGCAGTTCTGAGAACATCAAGTTCTTTCTCTCCTCCCTATGTCCTCACACGCTCACAAACACACACAGGCGTACACACAATAATTCAAGTTTAACCATGCTGTTTTCCACCGTTATGTAACGTCAAGAGCCATGCATGTGTTTGTGCATGAAACACGATGACCCATGCCTCGATGTAGCAGTGGTCTTGGTGTGGTGAGATTAGCCCTCGGTCTGGCCCCTCAGCGACCTACTGTTAAATACAGCCTGTTTTGTCACTCTTTCAGGTATGTTGGGGACATGCTGGCCTGGCTGCACCAAGCCACTGCCTCAGAGAAAGAGCACCTAGAAGCTCTGCTGAAACAAGTCACTCTGCAAGGTATGATGCTTCCTGCGTGCTTATAACACATTCTGCAGTTCTCCATCAACTCTGGTTCATGCCACACCCTAAATAAACAAATGGTGCGATCACACCTATAGCTGTATTCCTCCCTTGTTTTAATCTTACCCTTGGTGGAAACACTTGCTTTGTTGCATCTCTTATTTTGGTGTACTGTATAAGTGAACCAGGGCCTGTAAACAAATGTCGCACAGACTCACGAGTAGCTTGTTTATTGGACAGAGTTTGGGTAACCACAGTCATACAATGAGTTTAGAGATTTAGGTTAAAGAGTGTGAACAAATCAAATTCCAGCACATTTAGTTCAGCCTGATAGACTAATCCTGTGCTTGTTTCCCTAATTTACCTTCTTTGGTTCGCATAGCTGTAAAGAATAAACACAGATCAGTCAAGACCTGGGCTGGCCTTTTGTCCAGTTTGTTATGCTGAGCTATTACACCAGTTACTTCTATCGAGTATCAGCATTTATCTCCTTACATAATTTTGAGGTCGTTTTCTGAAATTAATTTTGTTTATCATCTCAATCCCAACAAATCATGTAGGAGCTGACTTGTAAAAAGTTTGAGCTCTGTAGGCAGGGCTCAAAAAATACAGAATTTGACAGTGAAAACAGGACATTTTCTCCAATATTGTATTCATTAATAATATGCTTACATCTACAGTACCCTCAAAACAGTTGATGTATTTAATCCCAAATAGCCCTGACTATATTTGTGTGTGTGTCTTCTTACAATAGATGTGGAGGAGAACATGCAGGAGGTGGTCGGACACATCACTGAGGGAGTCTGCAGGCCACTGAAGGTGAATAAACAAATACGTTTAAGATGCTATTTAAGAAAAAAACTGACCAGCTCTGTTGGGTGCACACCATATTCTGTCATGTTCAGCTTATGCACTCACTCGGTGTGTTGTTGATCTGTCCCTCAGGTTCGGATAGAGCAGGTCATCGTGGCTGAACCAGGTGCTGTGCTGCTTTATAAGCTGTCCAACCTGCTCAAGTTCTACCACCACACCATCAGGTATTTGAAGTCACTCTGCAACAGGAGAAAAGTTTTGATAATTAATCAATCATTTATTGTTTGTTGAGCAAAGAATTCTTTTGTATTTTTTTCCTAGTTTGGAAATTTTGTTTTGTTTTGTACCTTTGTAAAATGAAAACCTTTTTGTTTTGCACTGTCAGCTGGACTGAACAAGCAATTTGAAAATGTCACTTTGGGCTTTTATAGCTTGTGACAAGCATTTTCTGCTGTATTTTGATGTTTTTAGATTAAACTTTCTCTTTTTTTTTTTATTGAATCAGGAAAATAACATGATTAATAATGCAGTCCTTACTGATCTGTCCACTTTTTTTTTATCTTTGTCCAGCTCTATCATTGGGACCAGTGTGGCCTCCTTGCTCATCACTATTGAAGAAATGCACATTCTCAGCAAAAAGATGTTCTTCAACAGCCTGAGCCTTCATGCAAGCAGGCTCATGGACAAGGTAGAAGTAGGATGATGTCTATTTGAATAATCCACAATCTTGTTCTCTCTCATACAGTTGTAAGGAAAGTGACATTTAGGAAAACAATGCTGTCAACCTGAGGAAGAGACAGAAGCAGAGGAAGACGCAGCTTTGTTTTTTAAGTAGGGACGGTTCGCAATGTTCTTTCATAAAATCGCTTCAATGACAGTGCAGAAGTTCAGTATTGCACCCTGCGGACACACATTGTGTATTTCAGCTCTGCGTCTAAACCCTCAAAGACAACAAGGCTATTTCTGAAGCACTTATGCTTGTAAACAGTTTCAGCCTGCTCGCCACTGCATCGAAATGGCGCTAGCTGCCAAAAAACACCAAACTTGTTAACGTTAAGTCAAATTGCCATCCAAATATACCTCAGCACGAGCAGGAGCTCTTCCACATAACACACTGGCTGTGTCCAGATCAATAGCAGTTACAAGAATTATCCCTGTAGCTTGGTGTTAATCAAATTTGAGGCCCTCAGGGTTTTGGTGTCAATTCGAGCTAATGCCAGGAACACAGCCTTCTCATAATTTGCTCTATTAGGTGGACAACGGTGGCTGGGCTCAGTTCTGTGTTGTGTATCCAGAAGCCAATGAAATCAAAACCCTCTTCATTAAAAAAAAAGCTCAACAGACTCTGAACAAGCTGCGTCTCAGAGTAGCAGCAGGAACCAGTTGTATATTCAGTCTATCATGCTGCTCATTAGGGATGTTTAATGCTTTGATAATGTTGTGAGGGCTGCTTGTCTCGGTGAAAGCTACAGCCCACACGCAACTAACCTCTTCAAGAATAACTCTGCTCTTTTGCTCTGTCTCTTCTTTTCATCCTGTCTGCCTTGGCAGGTGGAGCTGCCTCCTGCAGACCTGGGACCTACAGCCTCCCTCACTCAGACCCTGTCCCTCCTCAGGGAGGTGCTGGCCTCCCACGACTCATCAGTAGTTCCTCTGGATGCCCGCCAGGCTGACTTTGCACAGGTAAACTCTGGCCTAAATGCCTGAATTCACGGCAGCTTTAAAAAAAAAAAAAGTGGCACATGTTGCGACATTTTTCTGTTTCTGGTTTTAAATTTATTTATTTGTTTGCAATAAAATCTTGTAAGCAGGTGAACATTGAAAAAAAAAGTTATAAAAAGTCAAATTTGTCTTCCCTTGTTGTCATATTGTAACCAATTGCTGTTTCTCTTAAATTAATGGAATATAAATGTGATAATATTTGTTTTAGTCACCCGTTAATCAAAGTCAGTGATATTTCACACATCTGGTTCTGTCTTATTTTGTCTTTACCAGGTCCTCTCTTGCATCTTGGATCCCCTGCTGCAGTTATGCACTGTGTCAGCCAGTAACCTCGGCACTGCTGACATGGCTACCTACATGGTCAACTCACTGTATGTCATGAAGACAACCCTTGCTCTCTTTGAGTTCACTGACAAGAGGCTTGAGATGCTCGAGTTCCAGGTCTGTCCTAACTGCAAGCAGTTATCAAAAAATTAATAGTGAATCAGACAATTAAAATAATAATTTTCCCATGTTTTAAGTATTTATTTACATTTCATTACAATTACTCAAGGGCATGAAAATAATAATGAGAGACCATACCTTAGTTGGCCACTACAAACTGAGTCATGAAACACTAATGTTATCTAACATTAGAACTCAGCTTATGGTCATTATCTGTGCTGAAAGAGTATTGTTCATTGAAAATATTTAATTATTCTCGTTCCTTTCATTAAAGCCCATAGAGCCCAAATCTTTTATTAAAAGGATTTCATTTGCTGTCTCACAGAAGGGTGTGCGTCATGTATTGTTGTTCATGCTCAAATGCGCCATCTATCCTCTATTTTTAGCATGTCTTTTGTAATTGAGCACCACAAGAGCTCCTGTGGAAGTTTCATTATCAATAGCACAGCGGTTCTCTATTAACCACAAGTACCACTGGCTCACAATGCAGGCTTGGACTGGATTTTAAGCCACTCTCTCCCACATTTTCTAGATCGAGGCTCACCTTGACACTCTGATCAACGAGCAGGCATCCTACGTGTTGACCAGAGCTGGACTGAGTTACATCTACAGCTGTGTCCAACAGCATGATGCTGAGCAGGTCTCTGATGGAACACTTAACTACACATACACATGCACTCACTCATGATGTTATAGAACTGTGGATTTTTTTCCACATTTCTCCTGTTCGACTACCTAATGTTCCTCCTCTTTTTTGTATTGCACAGGCCCTAACATTACAGCTTACTCTACCTTTTTGGCTCTACACCAGCTATTGCTGTGCTTCCCACATGACCAATGTCTTTATTAGGGCATAATACTATTTCAGTCACATGTTCAGATGAGAAAGGGACAGAGGGAAGCAGATCACATTATGTTCTATTACAAATATTATAGCTTCTTCCAAATTGTCCTGTGCAGATGAGAGAGCTGATGCCCCGGAGCCTTCCTCGCTTTATGTAACACACTTTGCCAGTGGACTGACTGAGACCCATAGTTGTGGTTTAGCATGCGAGTCTTGAAACCCTGGGTCATGTCAGGACACACCACACCCTGCTGCTGCAGCTCAACGCAAAGCTCAATCAAGAACTGTCATTCTTCTGCAGACTACCTCTCTCCTCGGGTGGCCTGTCTCGGGTATTCTTTAAATAGTCTTCAGTGTGAAAAGATTAAGTCTAGCTGTCCACACTCGACGGCATACCAGATGTGAACGACTGAACAGAATCCCCAGGTTTATTTTAGACTTTTCAGGTTTACTTTCACTATCGGCTTAACATTTTCTCCCTGTAATTTTCTGTGATTCATCAGATGAACAAGTCAAACACAAGAAAACAGTGATTAAAACAACACTGGCTTGTAGCAAGCAGATGAGTCTGCAGGTTCATAGCATGTTTGTTAATGTGCCCATTTCCCCATAAAATCTCCCAAGGTACTGCACTGAAGCTTTGACCCTTGCACTGCCTTCTATTTGCTGCTTTTAATGTTGGCAATTTAGGCATTTAAGCTCGACTTAATGTTGCCATTCTGGATAATCAGTGTGAGCTAATTGCTTTAAAGGTACCCGCTGGTGTGTTCACAAAGTCATTCATATCTTTACCTATCAAGATTAAGGGTGGGAATTTCTCTTGTTTATTTTATTATTAAATCACCAACATTATGAACCTATGACATGCTACCACAACCCATGACATCAAACTGATGTTTAACCAACCAGTCAGCCATAAACAGTAAGCAAGCATGATAAAAGAGACATTATTTATATTTATGGAGATAAAGTGGCATTATATTATTATTATACAGGTCATTATTGTTCAGCCCTATTGTTTTTTTTTTTTGGGGGGGGGGGGGTAGTTTGTCTCATCAAGAGTATGAAGGTGTAAGACAAATGATGTGTTGTTGTTTTTTTTAATTAAATGTTTTTTTATGAAATTCTCTTACAGTTTCATTGTTTAGGATTTAGAAAGATACGTTCACAGAAACAAAATATGTTTTCTATAGTGTACAATCGCCTAAAAAAAAAATAATTGTTGTGTTTTGATTATCTTAGAATGAGGCGTTTATATCTACATAGGAAGCAGGTCCTCATCTACAGAGTCGCCATGTTTCACCGCCATGTTTCTACAATAGCCCAGAATGGACAAACCAAACACTGGCTCCAGATAGGGTCATTCATGTTTTTTTGCAAACCTGAATAAATGAATGACGGACCTCAGCCACTTGACTTTTGTTTTGTTTGTTGACCTTGAGTGGAATAATAAGATGATGTTTCCTCTTCTGTCTCAGGGCCCTTTGTCCCTCCTTCCCAGCATGGACAGCTCTTCTGTGAAAGCAGCGATGGTGAGTTAAACTGTGTTTAATAATGAGGTGATTTTTCCTGCAGGACTCAATAAATTCCCACCTAATGATTTTGATTATTTGACTCATCACCTGCTCTTAACCCTCTTGCACGAACAACAGGTCCAGTTTGATCGGTACTTGTCGTCGCCTGACACGCTTGTGATGCCACAGCTCAACTTCCTCCTCAGCGCAGCCATCAAGTGAGTTCCTGTCCCTAGTGTTGACAGTAGGTCTCCCTATTTAGGAAAGAATAGCAAACATGCAATATTCAGGCTTCGTGGTAAATGTTTACAACATCACATGGTGTTTCAACAGGGTAAAGAGCATATTCAGAGTGATAAAAATAGAACAGGAGCGTTGGCCTAATCATGTTCAACATTCATTAGTTTCCGAGATGTAATACGATCATTACTGCATTCCAAACAAAACACTCGACTAAATGCATGGGGAGTTTGGATGTTAAATTGCTAAAGCCACCAACACATTGAGAGAGTGGTCAGCAGGACTGCCTGTATTTGTCTTACTGATCAGAAAATGCGAATGCTTTTAGCTCAATCCAGCTGCTACATTGGAGGGCTCTTTCTATGAGTCACGTTTACTGGGAAGTGCAGCAGGCTTGAGGAGCACTCTGTACCTCAGGTTAATGTTCTCTATTAATGGACATGGGAGGACTGATGGGCAGGACGCCATTAATTAGCTTCTGGTCCATTTCTCACTCACACTCGTTCCCTGAAATCATTCCTCCTCTTTGTCTTTCTCTCTCTCTCTCTTTCCCACTGTCTCTCAAGTCTGCTTCTCTGCTCACCTAAATACACAAAAACACCCTCCAGCACTCTGAAAACACTCCTGGAGTGCACAAATAATGGGAATGTACTTTTAGTCTCCCGTTGTTTCACATTTCGCATTAGTGCACTTGCTGCAGAGTAAGGTGTTGTACACAGCACTATGGTTCTGTTCTCTGTGGGCCAATTAAAAATATGGATCTCAAGAGCCTGAGTTGGATACAACTGAGGCTCTCCCACTGTGTCCTTGAGCCCTCTCACTGGGCTCTTCAGTCACACTGTTGCATCCTCCATTTGTACTCCACTGCAAAAAATAGTCACATTATGTCCAATCTCAGAACCCACTGATAATCAGTTTGACGACAGTAAGCCCCGGGGGTCCACTGTCAGTATTTTGGGCCATTCAGGTGTAGCCTGCGGAGAGCTGGACCAAGACTTCCTCTTCTGTGCTCCGGCCATTTCAGCTAATCGCCATAAACTGAAATCGGCAAATTAATGCAGATAAATTTGAAAATCATCAGATTGTCAGACAATACCTAGAATGCTATTGGGCTGAATTGCTGGGGAGAGGGCCGTCTGGAGTACTTTGCTCAGCCTGCTGCCCCCGTGATGTGGCCTCGGAAAAGTGGTTGAAAATGGATGGATGGATGGATGGATGGATGGATAGATAGAGATGATAGCTAATGGGTTCCAAGATTGCATTCACACACAAACTATTTACCTGACGGTCAGATATGATTGTTCAGTACTAGTCAGACTAAAAACGGTCACCTGAATGCTTTTGATCTTGTCCTATAGAGTCTACATACGTATGCAAATAACTGTTTATAGAGATTGTATTATCTTCATTACTTAATGGTATATGGTTTTAATGGCAAATAAAAAAACTAAAATGATGAAAAACTAAAGAAGCAGAACAAGATATTCATTAATTTTCTGTGACCGCTTATCCTGTTGCGGGTCTGGAGCCTATCCTAGCTGACATTAGGTGAGAGGCAGGGTACACCCTGGACAGGTTGCCAGACTATCGAAGGGCTGACACATAGAGACTGACAACCATTCACACTCACATTCACACCTACTGTCAATTCAGAGTCACCAATTAATCTAGCCTGCATGTCTTTGAACTGTGGAGGAAGCCAACGTACCTGGGTAAAACCCACGCTGACATGGGGAGAACATGCAAACTCAGCACAGAAAGGATGCAAATCCCCCCAACCCTCTTGCTGTGAGGCGACAATGCTAAACAGAATATGTTGTTTCTAATTAGATTTCTATAAAAAATACTACAAGTGACTCATAAATCAGTGTGGCCTTAAAGTAAATGACAAAGAAAATCAAGCTGTGACTGCCGTGTTGATGACAGCTCAAAAATATAAAATGTATTAATATGTAGGATTAGTTGAGAGCTTGGAAAAATCAAATGTTTTGCATTTTTGTTTGACTAAAACAGATAATTGCTTACCAGAACAGTTGACAAATAATTTTCTTTTAGTTGACTAATTGTTGCTGCACTAAAGATAAATAAAAATCTGTATGATATGAACTGAATTTGATTTGAAACAGCAGAGATTGATTTAGAAATCCATGAAACTGAAAACAATTTTAGGTTGAAAGATAGCTGCAAATCTGATTAGAGGGACTTTTTGTTGCTCCAGCAGCACATGTTGCTGTGGCTGACACACTTGTACATTTATGCTGTGATTTGTAACCGTAGATGGCAGTATGCACCACATACTGCTGCTCATTGTTTTGACACAGCAGGGGCACACAATGGTCACTGAACAAAAAAAAGTAATTAGGACAAATTCTTACTCATGGCTAACTTATTCAGCTGTTGATCAGTGACTAATCACAGCACAGCTCTGCTTGTCTGATTTAGACTAGAAATGTTGTAATTTAAAGGCCCACTCACTGCTGCCACTTTGTTTTGTGATTCTAAAAGTTTTATCTGTTTGTGCAGGGAGCAGATTTTTCGTCAGTCCACAGAGCTGGTGTGCAGAGCGTATGGAGAGGTTTACACAGCGCTGACCAGCCCAGCTAACAGCTACAAAGACCCAGAGAACCTGCTACCCAGGTCACCTCAGCAGGTTCAGACCTTGCTGTCCTGAGAGACACTTATGTCCCACCTGTTTAATCACAAAAACACCAGGTGAGCCCCATCGAAGGACTGCCAGCAGGTTATTTAAAGAGCTGTGTAATTTGTACAGCATAATAACACAAATGTATATAAACGTAGTTGTTAAGGTGGGGTTCTTTGTGGGAAATGTGGGCTGTGTGCTGACCTCAGAGACAGACACTCCTGTGTGCCAGGAGGAAAGAACATTATATGTGTATGATCCATTTACTTTCACTGCAGTAGGCAGTCAGCTTATTATTTTTCTCTCTGTGAACCACATATGCTTCCTCCTTCCTGTCTGTTTTCACGCCATGTACTCTGTTTATTTAATTATGCTCTATAAGTGTACAAAACAATGTATTTTTATTGAAAAACTGAGCATTACATAAAAAGAAAAAGAATACACTTCATTTAAGAGGCTTGTCTTATTTTTCCACACTTACGACTAGGCACTAAATTTCAGCCACTATGTTAAGAGGAACCTCAGAAGTTGTGTTTATTTTAATCTCAACTGTTTTGAGTTGTAGAGATAAAATGGAAAATGTGTCTTACCCTCTCCTTTGGCTTTTCAGAAAATGTCTACAATGCTGACTAAGATTTATAAACAAGACTATAATGATGCTGGAATCAGTCATTTACCCTTATTTCTACATTTCTTTGACCATTTAAAACACATTATGGTGTGTCAGATGGAGTAAAAATGTTGAATTCAACATTAGCAGAGCATTAAGCTCGACAGTGATTTTTGGATTTGTGGACATCAGTACTTACTTTCTTACAATGTTCTATCTTTTGGACTCAATACACTTAATATTTTTTTTATATTTAAAGCAGTCACAAGGAGTTTTTAAGTGGTTATGAAACAGTTTGAATTTAATGAAGATGCCTTCATATGACCTATGTAAGCAAACATGATGATCAGCAAGAAGATTGGCTGTTTCTATATACTGTAGTTATTCTTTATGCCTGTCTGCGGCTGAGATCATTAAAGAGAAAAGAAAAGAATTGACAGAAGAACAAACTAAAAGGAGCAGTCAGGGAACACAGGCAAAAACACAAGTCAACCTTGACCGCTCATAGAACAGATGGAGAAAATTGCAGGATTTGAGAGGATACCAATCCTGAATTGGCCCTCTTCATCATTAAACTGTGGCTACTTAAAAGATAATATAATATTGTCGTTGAAGTAGCCACAGTTTAAGCACATGCAGTACAGTTGATCCCAATAGTGAGGTATTTTTCATCTCTTTCAAAAGTAAAACTCCACAGCATTGGATTGTTGTGACATGATGGCCTATAAATGTCAAATCAGTGAAAATCTGACACCACCCAGCCCACGTAATCCCCAATAAAGCAGAACTGAAACAGTAAAGATAAGTGAATATTGATCCGGTCTGTTGTTATGGTATCTGGCCTGAGAGGCAGCATTTCATGTCTGCTATCTGACATCAAGGTTCATGGCAGCAGGCCTGATCTTGGCAGCACTGCCAGCTCTGAGGCCCAGGATTTCCCCAGCTCACCGGATGTTACTCAGATATCATTGGCCAGGACATTGAGTACTGGGAATAAATGGAATACCACAAAGTTCAGCATCTGGACAGGCGCTCTTGAGTCCTTTAAATAGACTGGTTCTCTCTTCCAGTTCTGCTTGGCTCCGCTTGGATACAAGTTGGATCATTGAGTGGTTTTACTCAGCACTCTGGCAGAAAGTCGGATGATGTTTGAGAAGCAGGATTATTGAATAACAACATAATGTCCAGTGCACGCCCTCACTTACTCAGCTTCACATCAGTTGTGTGTGAATACATGTGGGCCTTCACAGATCAGCATGTGAGAGCTTTTTCCTGCCGGTGGCTGTATTAATGAGTTAGCAGATGTCAGAGGTGATGGAGTCACTACTTAGAGGCAGGTAGTGGTGAGCAGGGTGGCAAACATTCATCCCATCATCCGCTCCATATGACAGCGGTCACCAAGCTTTTGCCTGCTGAAGCATGAGACCAGCAGGAATCTGGGTTAAAGGATAATATTGAGTTTTTTCCCCCTTCCCTCTCGCTCCAGTGACTGGTGATTAATGTCGATCCAGAGCTAACAACTTGAGTCTTATCTATTGCCTCAGCAGAAACTCTGAAAGTAAAATGACTCACACCAATGTACAGCTTACTGAATTAACGCTGCTCTTTCTCTACATTCATGCGTAGAAATGTCATGAGTTGCTTCCTCCCTCGGAAATGAATCATCAGCTCCCCAAAGGAGGATTTGGTAACTCGTATAACAAGAGGAATGAGGGTTTTATTAGGGCTGGACAATACACCCATATTATATTAATATCATGAAATGAGACTAGATATTGTAGTAGATTTTGGATATTGTAATATTGTAAGTGTTGGCTGCATAACAGGATGTAATGCCATTTTCTGAACTTACCAGACTGCTCTAGCTGTTGCCTTTACCCACATCGTCATTATGTATCCATTACTGATGATTATTTATCAAAAATCATATGACATCAATGTGTAACTATTTGTAAAAGCACCAATAGTCAAGACTACAAAAGAGTGCAGTAGGAACAAGTTCTAAAATCCGGAAATGAGTTTGCATTTTAGCACTCCTGGTTCCCTCGTCTCGAAGTCAGTGGGTTTTTTTAATTAGTTTTTTGGTTAGCTGCCTGAAATAAGGTCTGTGGTTATCACAAGCTTAAGAGACTTTAGTGTTTTGTTCTACCACATAAAGAACCCCCCACCCGCTTGGAGTACCTGTCATGGGCAGCCCCACTCTGACATCTCTCCACTAAGTGCATGTATAGGTCCTGTTTGTGCATGTGTGTGTTCGGACCTGTGTGTAATTGACAACAGAGTGAAAAAATTGAATTTCCCCTCAGGGATTAATAAAGTATGTTAAATTAAATTAAATAGTTGCTTAACACCCCACTTTGGAAGTTTTTACTTGTCGTAGAAAAGGCGGTTGCTGTCAAGTGGCTTAATGAGACTACAGATTGTCATCACACTGAGTACGGCTTTTCAGCCTGAGTACGGCTTTTCAGCCTCAATGTGGTGGCGACTTGAAGCTGTGTGACTGTAGTGTAGATGGTTTATATTCTAACTTTAGCTTTACACTTCTGCAGATTGCATTTATGTTTCAAAGTTCATGGAGGCGCTGTTAATTTGTGAAGATTATCTTGTTGAACAAAACCTACAAATAAACATCAGCCCTGCAGCACTCCATGTCATTGCAATATTGATACTTAGGTATTTATTAAAACAAATATTGTTGTATTTGATTTACTCCATGTCGCTCAGCCCTAGCTTTTGTGTCACAGCATAGTGATGCTGCTCTAATGTGTTGCATTTAAGATACAGTTCAAATTCAAGACAAATGTGGGAAGAGCTACCTTTTGATTTAGCCCTTGATAATTTTACTGTGTATCTATCTTTAATGGACAGTGATGGATTTCACTGTATTAACTGAGTAGACCAATGACACGTTATTTATAGCTAATTTGTCCTTGATAGGATGCTGCCATCATGTCGCTGATACAGTTTTCCTAACAGGTCAACTGTCAACGCTGTAGTTTAGTCACAATACTGGACTTTCTAACTTGAATACAGTACCTTAAAAAATATGATATTCAATACCATTTTCAATGTTGAGTAAATACTGACATTAAAGGTATAATTTTTTTGCATTATTACATTTTCTCTGTTAGTAGCAGAGAACAGCAGAATAACTGTAGTAAACATTAACAATAAGGCGCAGCTGGTATTCGTATATCAATACTGCGGAAAATGAATATTAAAATCATCAGTGGCGTGCACAGACTTTTTGAAGGGCAGGGGCGAAAAGAAAAAAAAGGGCACATACAGCGCGTTCTCGCCACTGAAGAGGGCACTAAGTTCCGCATGTTTTCGAGGACACTTTAGACATGTTTATATGTTATACAAATGGCACATTATATAGCCTTAAAACAGACTAGCTAGACAGACTATTCAAGTTAGTTTGTAGTTAGGATCAGCATCCACAAGAACTGTGTAGATTCAATGTTGGACTGCGAAGAACACACAGAGACATGGATGTATGAAAGAAATAAATCCCTTGGGGGTCTGGGGGTCCTCCCCCAGAAAATTTTCAATTAAGTAGATGCCATTTCCTGTATTCTAGTGCATTTTAACACCATATTAGCCCCAGATAATCCAAACTGGTTCTATGAGATATAGTTCTGGCTCAATATAGATCAAAAAAGGGCCCAACATAAAAGTCATTGCAACAGTAATGTTTTTACCACCCAAGAGGGCAGTTTATCATGTTTTAACCAGCCAAGAGAGCAGTTTATCATGTTTTAACCAGCCAAGAGGGCAGTTTAGTGTGTTTTTTGGCTCCAAAGAGGGCACTTTAGCATGTGTTTTGGCTCCTAGGAGGGCACTTTGGTTGCCAAGAGGGCACTTTAGCATGCGTTTTGGCTCCCAGGAGGGCATTTTGACTGCCAAGAGGGCACTTTAGCACGCGTTTTGGCTCCCAGGAGGGCACTTTAGTACGCGTTTTGGCTCCCAAGAGGGCACTTGAGCGTGCGTTTTGGCTCCCAGGAGGGCACTTTGGCTGCCAAGAGGGCACTTTAGCGCGCGTTTTGGCTCCCAGGAGGGCACTTTAGCCCGCGTTTTGGCTCCCAGGAGGGCACTTTAGCACGCGTTTTGGTGCACACCACTGAAAATCATTACAATTAGTCAGGATCGATAAGTATTGATAAATTAATACACTACACTGCTATTAACTTAAGTCATCCATAGTGTTACCTCTCCATGTGTCTGGACTTAGCTCAGAGAAAAACCTTTATCACTGTTGGTATTTTTCTTAGCAGTGACACCGCAGTTCAGGTGAAATGCCTTCTCTTCCCATGCAGATAATGTCCTGTCCTATAGGAAGTTGTTAAGGAATCAATGACGAAATAATGGACTTTGTGCCACTACAATGTAGGAACGCTGCAAGAACACTGCAAGGTGTACAACGTTAATGTGTTATCTGTTTTGATTGCACTTTTTATTTAACAAACTGTGCTGTACTTGCAGATTATGGACAGTTGCATCACGCCCTGCCCCCTTGTTAAACACTGAACAAAATCTTTTTACAAGATGAGATGTGTTCAACCCTGCAAGTCTAATTTATCAGTCATTATGTGTAACGTGGTCTAAGTCAATACTTGGAGAATGCTTTGTTTATGGATTTTATCACTTCAGCCAAATTCTTGGTTTGAATTGAGTCACCCATCCCCCTCACTCCTAACATACCTTATTAAGCCCATTGGAACATTAGGTATGTAACATGCTCTCCATGTTTTGTGCAGCGAATTCTTCAAGCACGGGGCATGGTCATCCATCTTATTATGGAGCTCAAATATCTCCTATCTCATATCAGTACAACTCCTAATTATTTCTCCACATCGCCTTTATTATTGTGAAAGGTTACCTCATGTCATGTCTTTCTCTTTGGAGGCTATTATGTAATTTGTCTATTAGCACAGGAAGGGGGACACTGTGAAGTACTGACCTGAAACGCTAGTGCACAGTAATTAATTTTCTTTTCTGATTCTCTGCTGTTCCCATCACCGTAATCAGCATTTCACTCAGTGCACTCAACACAACACAAGGCTCCAGAAACTTCAAAACTGCCTCAAAAGTCACCATTTGCCGCTCGTGATTTTGGCACACAAGACACGGTTATTAATGCACGTCCATCTGGCACTGCTATTGACAGGCATACTCCCTGGCTGACCAGATGCATGTCCAGGTGGCCTGATAAACAAAGCATATCAGAGACACTAACAGCACAGTGTTTGGTTAGTTGTGGGATGAGAGGAGAGCGCAGAGATGACTGGCTCTCTCCGGCCAAAGATTAGCCAATGATGGAGCTGCCTTGCCCTCACGCTGTTGGAAAAGGTTGGACCCCCCGATGGTGCCCCAGAATGCTTGTACAGTATTGCGTGTGGCTGTGATACTCCATTGTGTAAGCTTTTCCTCCCAGCAGAAACATGTTTGCTTTTGCTGGTATGAACACTTTGTACAGAGTCCTGGGCAGAGCACAACCATATTCAGTGATTTCCGAATTGTTTCACTTATGGCCAGATCTGTCCTGTGTTGTTATTACATTTTATTCCCCCATGAAAAATATTTTTTTTCCTCTGGCATCTTACAAAGTTGCATGCGTCACAAAAGAGCGTTTTTTGAATATGATAAACCAAGAGGTGGTCTGAAACGTGTACTTACTTTGCTTGCAGATAATAAGTATAATAACAAATGAATCTATTAAACATTTGTTTTTGCCAAACCGTTTTAAGATCACCAGGTTTGCCACTAGCACACGACAAAACCCGGGAACCTGACAGACAGACAGACAGACCTATTCATACTAACAGAATAGAGAACAAACATGTAACAAATTCGCCATGACTAATGCCTCTGAGTTATCCAACATGCTGTCAATCATTACTCACACAGAGAGCACTGTCTCCACTCTCGTTGGTCCGAATGTGGCCCTGCTGTGCACTTTTTCAAAGCACAGTCCCGTGACTCCCATCCTGAGGCGACAGACCAGGGCCGAGCTGTGTTTGGTGCAGGAGAGGGAGAAAGGCAGTGCCTACAGGGACAGGGGTTGTTCTTGTCACCGGGGTCACGGCCACAGACCCGGTCACCCCACTTTCATGTGTCCCTGCTCAGGGACAGTAAACAAACATGGCTGTGAGCACAAAGGTATAGTGGCATTACACACTGCTGTGTTTTGACGCCAGAGTGCCAGGAAGGTAATGCAACTTTAGGAGGCTGTGATCCAGTGAAAGGTGGCAACATCTACATTGGTTCTGTCGCACTACCTTTTGTATATTTATGGTAAACAGTTTCACGGTTTCTGGCTGAAAGCGTTCTCATAATTCAGCGTTCTCATTTTTGTAGAGTACCTCTGAACAAGTAGCATCCACACACCAAATAATGGCATTTCTGAGTAGTCACAATAACCATATTGTGTTTCTGGTTCATGCAGTGTCTATACCATAATCCTACCAATAAAGGTAATGCTAAATTAAAATTTAGCATCAGATTCAACAAGTTAACACCACATTTCCTATAAGTCCATTTGTTTTTTGTAGTGACGTAGATGTTACAGCTGACCCTAGCCTTGTCTCTGATCGTTCCTCCATCCAAAGTATTTTGTTTTTGCGTTTGTGAACATGATAAAAATGTTTTTCCCCCTTTTACTTCAGACTTTCCCAAATTCCAAAATCGATACGAATGACTTTTTGTTGTGGATATTGTGACTCTCCTACTGTCTTGGAGCTGTTCTGGTCAACTTCAGTAGTCAGTCAGCTTACACGTGAGGGTTGTCAGCTGATTATGCTCACCTGTGCCTGCAGGCTGTAACAGATGGGCCCTGGTTTTTCATTATGCTAACTTATTCAACCCCGCATCCTCTCTCCTCCCATGACCCGGACATTGTTCTCCCCCCCGCCATCATGGAGGAACTTCTAGTCACTTAAATGTACCTCTAGGAGAGGAGTGAGGAGGCTTCTGGAGGGGGCTGAAATGAGGAAATACAGGTGTATACTATGTAAAAGTGGCGTGACGTATAATTTCCACACCCCCACATGTGCCACAGCATGTCATAAGTAACTGACGTTTCTTAATACTGACGCTATGGAACCAAGGATTTCTCATCTCACTCTCACATCTTCGTTGGGAGGAGCTAAGACGTGAGGTGAAGGAAGCAAGGAGACAAGTCAGCATTATGAAAACAATTCCATGTGTCTCTCCTTTCCTACAGCTAATGTCCACCATACATCATTGACGGTTTTGAACCTTCGACGCCTCCACAGCACACATGACACACATCCTTTCATTACAGAGATTGCTGATCAACCCACTCCATTGTCGCTTTTGTGTTAAGCTTAGTTTAATAAATTGTTGGTTTTAAGTAAATCCCTTGTGTGGACTCCCTCCTGTTTGTGACAGATATGAATACGCACAAGTTTTCAGGTTTTTCCGACACAGAAATGAATATGAGAATTAGAGTATTGCTTCACTGTTTCTTCTTTCAAACAGGGAACGTAAGAAATGAGGAGAAAACTCAGTGGTACAGCTGCAATTATTGTGTGTGTGTGTGTGTGTGTGTGTGTGTGTGGTAGGAGGTGTGGGGGTGGTTGCACAGGAACAGCACCAGAGGCCTAAGAGGGGAAGGAGCGAGCCCCAGTTACTGAGTAACCCAGAGCAGCAGTCCCATACTCACCTTTCCCCTAATAGCCCTTCACCTTCAGAACCACGTGAAGTGGGCCTGTATGCTGACTCCCCATAGTGTGCACTCAAACACACACACACACACACACACACACACACACACACACACACACACACACACACACCAAGAAAGCTTAGCTAGTGACAGAGAATCCCAGCAGCACACACTTGCAGGAGCATTAAGTAGATGTTTCCTTGAACAGCAGAAGAAGCAAAATAGCAGCAGCTGAAAGGTGGACTATGTGTTATTTTTACTGTCCAACCAGGACCAGAGTGTACTGTGTCTATTAAGATTTGACTCGGCTGTTGGTCGGTACTTATGACTCAACACTTGCCACTGTGCACAGATTTAAAACTCACTTTCACACACTTTACAGCCCCGGCACACCAAAACACTGGGTGGTGTTGGGCCATGTGTGATGTTTGCTGTTTGATCAAAGCATTTGGCTTTAGTCAGTCCTCATCAGTGACCTTTTCAGCAGATTGTACATTTTGAATTGACATAGAGGCAGCTGGCATTAGCATTTAATTAAGTTTCTTCTTGTTACGCCTCTAATGTTTATTTTGGGCTGAGAACGCTATTACCTATAAATTAATCTTTTTATCAAATGAATTTGCAACTAGTATCCTGAGCACATGTCAGATTTTCTGTGGTTTACTAGTTTGTTTTGTGTATCTCTCTGCGATGTTTGTTGGCAGACCCATGTACGCTACTCACCAGTTATGCAGGCACAGAACGTACGTGTGTGTCAGCTGCAAACTGACTATAGCGTCTATAGCGCTCACCATGTACTCAAATGCAACTTTTAACAGAAGGTATAAGGAAGTGCATCCATTGGTCTTTGCAAGTGGTAGTTCATTCAGGTTGGCTGATAGATTGCCATGAGCCAAAATCACAAAACATTATGGCTGTGAAAACTTGACAAAATAGGGGGCAACCTCGAGCTCACCTGGAAAAGGATTATCATTCCAGTGGCTGCATTTATATTGAGTTTCTTCTGCATGTTTGAATGGATTTTCTGTTAGCTAAAAACTTTCATTTTGAACTTGAAACATCATTATTTACGCCACTTACAGGCCACCATAGCCATAGGAGCAGAATGGTAGGTAAGGCACAACTGAACTTTGTGGAGCACAGCTGAATATGGCTGTACGGAGAAGTGTGTGGGAATGTGTTCACCACTGTGTCAGCAGAAAGCCACTCCTTCCCATTGTAGCGGCTGAATGAGTAAGATGTCAATGGAAAGTATGAGTCACTAGACCTACAACTCACAACAATAATATTTAGCATGAGCAGGGAACTCGGAGCAGTCTGCAGAAGGTAGATTGGTGATTAGTGGCTTTATACGCAGACTGGGAGTGGCTGTGACAAAACTGCTGGCCTGACATCATTAATCCATCCCAGCCCACACACTCTCCACGCCAGACTGGTAAGGGAGGTACCGGTTGAAAGACGGGCTGCTAATTCAGTCCAGGGTGAGGAGCAGAACCAGAGTGATCCAAATCAGCCACACTGAAACCTTTGCCCGTTCCCTCATCATATGGGTGTGACTGGGAGCTTTTCTGGTAATGCCCTGTCTCAGAGAGAAAAAAGGAGTGTGCTTTCTCACACTACAGAGTGCATTCTTCTGGATCACTACGCACATTCTTTGTAGGTATTGAATGAGTCATACATAAAAAAAAGTGTTATCTCATGGTAGAAATATGTGATTATGTAGTTCCAGTAAAAATTTATTTATTTTTTTTATGTTTAAGCAATTTGGCTAAGGCCCATCACTGTTAATAAAATAACCGATGAGTCCTGTGCTGTTTTTATGGAAATCTGAATAAACTGTCCATGTTGTCCAGCGGTATGATGGGAATAAGAGGTCCAAATGAGGAACTTCATGACATCACTCTGCTGAAAGCTCTAAAATGTATGATTTGTGCTTTAACAGTAGTTCTCTGTCAGTGGACTCACTGGAGGGCATAGTCACATTGTCAAAGTAGCACATTTATGTCCAAACCTTTTCCAAAGTATTTATATTTGTATTCTGGAAGTTGTTAACTATTTTAAAGGTCCAGTGTGTAGGATTTAGGGGCTTCTATTGGAATAAATGGCATATAATATTCATAACTATGTTTTCATTAGTATACAATCACCTGAAAATAAGAATTATTGTGTTTTCGCTACCTTAGAATGAGCTTATTATAGCTACATATGGACTGGGTCCTCTTCCACGGAGTCTGCCATGTTGTTCTACAGTAGCCAAGAACAGATGAATCAAGCACTAGTTCTAGATAGGGACATTTGCGTGTTTGCGTTGGCCACCATAGTTCACCATAGCACGGCTGGCGGTGTTTCACAGAACTCCTCTGCTTTGATATGTATCTCATGTCACGGCCCGGTTATGTGTCATGTGAATGCCTCTGCAAGAGAAGAAAACAAAAACATACATCTCACTGGCGTTATTCAGTGTCAGTTTTAGGCTAGTCTGTTTTTAATAATGTAAGGAATGATTTGAAAACTAAACAAACAAACAAAAAAATACAGACCTCACAGAATATCAGTTTATAGAACTCGCATCCATGACTGTCAGCTGTAACACTGCAGAAACTTCCTTATAATCTTAAAATCATTTGTAAAACTCAAATCCTGACCCACAAACAAAGAGAGACACTTATTATTATTAATATTGATGAAAATAATAAGCTGTGTAGTATTCTTGTTTTGGAAGTACCTTTTTTCTTACGCAGCATCCATGTGAGATACACACTAAGTATCTCTAAACATCAATTTGAGTAATCATTCAAATTTACAAATCTGCCCAAGAATCACGACTACACTGAGGTTGAATCTCAAGTTGGCGGTGTTGACTCAGAAAATGAATCATGGAACCTGCAGAGAGCCCAGATCATCTGAGCAGCTGTCCCAACAAGCCGGGGCCAGGGCCAGATCAGGCCCTGTTTTTACTGAGGAGGGGGGTGAGTAGAGAGAGAGAAAGAGAGAGAGAGATCTGAAAACTTTCCACATGATGTTTCTGAAACGGTCAGTTTCAAATCATGGAAACAAATCAAATCCATGTCGAGAAAACAAGCTTTGGTATTTAACCTGAGTGCACAGAAGCAAAGAAGGGGTGTTATTATTGAATGACTGGCATGGTGGGTAAACTCTTCAGCCATTTCCTCCCATTCATACACCGAAAGGTCTTGACTTTCTCCTAAGTGATATCTTGGCTCCGACAGATGAAATGCTCCAGATTGATCAAGAAGTAGGAAGCAGTGTTTGACCTGAAATAGGAAATCACAGTAGGAAGTTAGATAAAATTCAAGAATGGAGGATCAGG